CTATTCTTAGTCTAAGGCCAAATCATAATAATGCTCTTAGCTATTCTTAGTCTAAGGCCAAATCATAACTTCCATAACCAGATTCTTTTAAGGTAATTATTGATCAGACACTTAAACTATCATAAGTTTAAGGCAATTGATTTCGGACACTTAACTGTAGTCAGTTAAGGCAATCAGACACTTAAACTATCATTAGTTTAAGGCAAATGATTTCGGACACTTAACTGTAGTCAGTTAAGGCAACAACAATATAGCGATTGATCAACATTGGATCGGGCATTTCCAAATGAGTAATCCTCTAGCTTGGTCTACGAATCCCGTTTATACATTTTTATCTAATTCATCGAATATTCATGTTTCACAAATCCATACTAATATGAGATCTATTCTAGAGGTTTTCTAGATAGCATTAACATCAATTTTTTTAAATGTGTATACCTTAGAGTTCTTCTAGATACCCTTAACACTACAAATCATTTCATAATTATAAATGTACTCATTTTATTCATGATTCAATCATAAATACTTATTTTAATCAGTAGGTTCAATACTCATAATCATCCATAATATTCATTTATCATAATCATCAATTAACACAACAATTGATAATAAATAGCGGCCTAGCTTCGAGTGTTAACACCCGAACTTACCGTCATGCAACACATAACATTTTTAGTTGTTAAAAACATCATTTTTATTCTTGTAAATCATTTTTATAATGGTCATAATCCATTGGTATCAAAACTAGGATTTTAGAGCTCAAAAATAGCAATTTCGGACAAATTTTCGGATCAGAACTTCGGGGGATCGATCCAGCCCAGGTGATCGATCCATCCATTTGGATCGATCCAAACAGCCTGGTTTTTGGTTACTGTTCATCATCTTCTTCGTTCGGGTCCAATTTCGAGAATACCGTTTTTAGTTACCGAACTTCAACAAAACTATATAGAGATGTTCTCCAAGGTTCATAGATCATTTTGGCATCATTAATTCATAGTTTTAACATCAATTTAATGGTTTATGATTCTTGGTTCTTTAAGCATGTNAAGAATGTAGAGGTTTGGTGAAGAAATGAAGGAGCTTGGGTTCTCTTATATAGGAATGGTGATGGGGAAGGAGCCAAATTTACGTTGCTTCCTTTCCCTGTGTAATCGGCTGAGTGGAGTGAGCGGCGATTTGTAGGATTTTACATGCCACTCCCTGATTGGGACAAATTTGGTTCCAGTCGGGGTACACTTTTTGGTCCAACTTTCTCCGAATTGAATTCTGTTTGCACCGTTGCGATCGGACAGTTAAACTCTATCCAACGATATAATTTTTATATTTATTGGTTATATTTTTTTCTGACATCATATTTTTGGGTGTTTGACTTTGACAGAGTAAAAATTGATTTAGTTGATCTTTATTCAAAAAGGTTTCTCACATTTAATTCATATCATTTGTTCGAATGATTTATTTCAACAAATCATTTCAATATTCACATTCTAAACAAATTTTTTTATTTACTCTTGATTTGGGTCTGTACCGAGGTTCCCAATCAAGACCACACAAATAGTCCACATATTGGATTTATCTCTATGAGACTTATCCAGATTTTGATATTAGATGTCAAAACAAATTTAATATCGGACCAAAGCCCAACAATAATTTATTTTAATTGAAACAATTGTGACTAATTGATTATTTATTCATTAATAATTCTAGGGTATGTTTTGGGGCGTTACAGATTTACCCAACGTTTAAATCGATTATCTGAGTCTTCAGATTCTCCGCCGAAAGATCTACAGACTTCAATAGTCGATTGCCTTGTTTTAGTCAATCGATTGTTTTGCGCCTGACTTCAAATAAAGTTCTGCAGCTCCATATAATCGATTATCATGACTTGGATAATCGATTGTTGAGGTTTTGCGATGGATTTGCTCCAAACTTCTGCGGACAGTGATAATCGATTATCTCAAGGTTGTAAATCGATTTACACTCAGTCCTAGGAACTTGAAATCGATTTCTTTTGTTCCCCTGGCTTCAACACCTACAATGAAAACATTTTGGTACCCGTTTGGTCTTTTGGGTCCTTGAGGATTAGTAACACGACTTTTTAAACTAATAAACACACGCACCCATAATCACATGGTACGCAAACACACACACACTAATAAACACGCGTGTTTAAGTGTTCCCTTGGCCAACTCGTCGTTTTGCGGTTGGCGGGTTCCAGTCTACTCGAACCGAATGTCTATACCTTGGTTTGATTTGTGTGGGTTCCGGAAGTGGTATGTGAATCTTCTTCTTTTCATCATAATAGAAGAAGTAATATGGTTTCTTTTGCGTTGATTCATGCAGGGATTGGTTAGAGTTCGAATATCATTTTTCAAAGGATTTCATTCGGTTAGTTCCATGCAAAGTGTGTGTTTTGTTATACGTGTAATGCCTATGCCTACTAAAACACACGGGTGCTATATGACCTACCCTATTGCAATAATGACAAATAACATTTGGATTATGCATTCTCCTAGGTTGATAATAGTTGCTAGGTTTTCTAACATGACCATTGTTCATCCTAGTGTTCTTTTTAGGTGGTCTAGTGTTACTAATTGTTCTAGGTTGTCTATTTTCATTATTCCTAAGTTGAGCTTTAGGTTTCCTAGGTGGTTGCTCAACTTTTTCCTTATTATTAGGTTCATTTTCAAATCCTAAGCCATGTTTAGTAAGTTGCAAATTATCAAGAACATCATTAAGGTTTTTATGAGAAACACCAAACTTCTTCAAAGCTCCTTCAAGTCTTGCAACTTGATCCTTAAGTGATATACAAGAGCTACATATTGAACTTTCCGGTTTGTCGGCGCTTCTTTTTCCGAAAAACTTATTTTCTTCTTTAAGTTTTTCATTATCTTTTGATAGTTTATCAACTTCCTTCTCCATGGAAGTAAGTTGTTTCTTCAAATCCTTGTTAATTTTATAAGCGTTGACATATTCATCATAAAGTTCATTAAAGGCTTCTTGTACAGCATCAAAAGTATAGGAATCTTTAGAAGTGGTACATATCTCTTCCGGTGGTTCCTCGTGTGCCATGAGGCAAAGGTTGCCGCTCTCATTTTCTTTGCCTTCCGATGACTCGTCGCCGGAATCACCTCCCCATGAGATGTAGGCTCGGTGCTTCTTGAACATTTTATTCTTGTTCTTGGCGTTTGGACATTTTGGTTTTATATGCCCAACTTCTCCACACCCATAGCATTTGGGTGGACTTCCTTGCTTCTTTCCTTTCTGTCATACTCTTGGCTCATGAACTTATGGAATTTCTTGAGCACAATCCCGAACTTGTCTTTGTCACCGCTCTCCAGGGTTGGCACCTGCTCCGTCATGTCTACCTGCGTGTAGCAAAAACAACTACACGCTCAGCAAAAGCTGAGGAATGAATCTAACAAAAGAACATGAAGTGATAACCCATATGGCTATACCCATAACAATACCTGTACTTAACGTACGGGACACCACACGTTACTAACTATTTAGTTTTCACCTGTTAAAGCTATTTCGAATAACGAGGAACATAACGATGATGATATGACTTGATGCATGACTTAAACTATCAGGGACACCCCTGGCTTAGTCTCACTCGACAGGATCATCCCTGCACTCCGGTCATCGTCCCCGAACGGTAACGAGCCGGGCACGACGAAAACATCGCGAGTGGACTAGCAAAACCGGGTAGTAGCCGTAACCTGACTACTATGTACGTCCACAAGCCCAACATGATGAAAACCCGTTGGTCCCCAAAGGTTCCTGGACGGGCCCACTGTAGTAGGCGCATGAAGTCCTCCCTACAGCGGTATGCACATGATGAAAACCTAGAACATCCGTCTAGAACGAACATGATGGAATGAATACATTGATTAAAGAAGAGAGTTAAATTCAATTCATACATATGTGTTTGATTACGATTTGTTCAACATGATGACCCTGGGTTCGGAACTGGCTAATAATCGATTATCTACTGTTGATAATCGATTATCATGATGTGAAGCTTCTGTCCCCAAAGTCCTGCAGACCGTGATAATCGGTTGTCACCCTATGACAATCGATTGTCAAGTTGGTTTATCTGGAAAGTCCTAAGTTCAGAGAGACCTCATAATTGATTTGTCTCGGTGATAATCGATTATCAGTGAAGCCAACTCAGACCCAAGAATCCGTAGAGCCTGATAGTCGATTATCACATATGGGATAATCGATTGTCACGCTGTGCTGAACCAACTGAGGAGTCCGGCGTGGCCTGATAATCGATTATACTATCCTGTAACTCGATTATCAAGACACGCTGATTTCCATTTTATTTGTTTGTAGCCATCAAACGTTGGAAGTTTTTTTTAAAATTGAATGTTTTCATTTCCACGCTAAGTAGTCGATGAATTTACGAGGTTCCAAAACATTTATGTTAACGAGTATATAACTTAATAACATGGGCTCACATAAGTTGGATACGAACATGCATAGATTCAACATAGGTTGCGTACGATATTCCTATGAATATAACGACATAGATTATAACTAAATGTTCTAGAATTAGAGGGACAACTACTCACCTCTAAAAGAAGGTGTTGATGGGACGAGATGAACGAATGGTGCTAACGAACGGACAAACAACGACTACGCTTCACACGAACGGCCTAGCCCTTCTTCTCCTTCAACCTTGCACCCGCCGGAGGTCCTCCTTGCTGCTGGTCTGGTCGAATGAAGGGGAGAGGAAGAGAGAGTGAGAGTGCTTCTTGGGAGTTACAAAGTGGAAAGACAAATGAAGGGAGAGATGGGGTTTTTAATTGTAGAGAAATGATTATGAAATAATGGTGATGGTAATGAATGGGTTAAGGGTGGCGCATGGAAGTAATGGGGGGTTACAAACTTTATTCTACTCCGTTATGTAAAATATGACCTGAACGGGTCCGATTTGAGATCCGTTTGCGTTTCTGGAATCAGACAGTCAAAACGAATTTAATGATATGATCAAATAATTTTTCTAAGAACTTTTGAATTTCCCAACTGCGATCCGGAAAAGTAATTAATTAATTAAATTAATCAATTCTATTAGACATGGTTGCAGGGCGTTACAATTATCCACCCCTTAAGAAAATTTCGTCCTCGAAATTTACCTGAGCACAGGTCACTGAAAAGATTTGGATAACGAGTGCGCATGGATTCCTCGGTTTCCCATGTCGCCTCCTCGACAGTGTGACTTCTCCACAGAACCTTGACTAGTGGAATGGTTTTGTTCCTCAACTGACGGGCCTCACGAGCCAGAATCTCGACCGGCTCCTCCTCATACTTAAGATTCTCATCAAGTGTGACCGTATCAGCTGGAATCACATGAGAAGGGTTCGACCGGTACCTCCGGAGCATGGACACGTGGAACACATCGTGGATCTTGCTCAACTCTGATGGTAACTCGAGCCTGTAAACTACAGGTCCCACCCGTTCAATAACTGGGTACGGGCCTATAAACCTCGGACTCAATTTCCCCTTCTTGCCAAAACGTAGGACGTTCTTCCAAGGTGACACCTTCAGGAAGACCCTATCTCCGACTGCATACTCGATGTCACGCCTCTTAAGGTCGGCGTAGGACTTCTGTCGGTCCGAAGCTGCCTTAAGTCGGTCCTTAATCACCTGGACCTTCTCCTCGGTCTCACGAACCAAATCTGGCCCTTCCAACCTCCTCTCGCTGAGCTCTGTCCAGCAGGTAGGAGTACGACAGGGTCTACCGTACAAAGCCTCATACGGTGCCATATGTTAGAATAAAGGCCCAACGCTAGAGGGGTGTGAATAGCGTTTAAAACAAAATCGCAGGAAATTAAAAACGAGAGCGTTAAAGTAAAGAGCGTAAGGAAGGAGCACACCGAATTTTATCCTGGTTCACCACAACGTGTGGCTAATCCAGCCCCCCGAGAGACTCTCTCGAGCTACACTTACTCCGTTAAGCTTAAGGGGGCTTAACAAACCAATACAACTTGAGAACCCGAGTCACACGAGCCTCAACACCTTTGCTCGGAGATACCGCACTCCAAGACTTCTCACGAAGGAACAAGGAACTTCCTTCGAGTTTACAACAAGGGAACAACCTCCCTTAAAGTGTATGAAAACACTTAAACACTCAGGAATAAAACACTCACAAAGAGTAGATATGAGTGAACTAGTAAACACTCAAGAACACGACAATTTCTTCAAGAATTGGCTCTCAAATAGCTAAGAAAAAATAGGAATGCTTATGCAATGAATGAGTATTGAAATGTTGAAGAATTGTGTGTAAAATGAGAGGATTTGGGTGCCATTTTATAGACGAAAATTGGATAAACCCGTTGCTAGAGTTTCCAACAGGATGAAAACAAATTTTTTAAAGACACAGGGTGATAGTCGATTGTCAAAGCTTGATAATCGATTATCCAAAGATTCCTTATCCAAAAATTTAAAATTCTATCCGTTGGAGGACAACGGTAACCCAGATAATCGATTGTCAACAAGTGATAATCGATTATTTGTCCTCTCAGAAGATTCTGGGTTTTGGCTGCAAAGGCTGATAATCGATTATTGCATAGCTGATAATTGATTATTGCGTACTTCAGAACTTTGGAAGTTCAATGCTGCAGGGGCTGATAGTCGATTGTCACTAAGGTGATAATCCATTATCACCCAGCTAAAGTCTAGCCAGCTGAAACACGTTTTGAAAACCGAGCTCCAAAAACGAAGTGTTCCCAAAAGTAAAAACCAGATTTGGAAAATATTGTATATGGTAGAAAATAGTTAAAACAAGACTTGTTTGGTAAAAACCAAGTCTCCAAGGTCGTATAATACGTGCGTACGGTTTTGACCGTTTTTCACGTGTTAGACCGATCGACCAAGATACAAAAATGGTTTTTATAAAATAATTATTTAGGAGCATTTTAAAAATGCTCAGAGGTAAAAACAGGGTTTAAAAACCACGGAGTTGGTTCGGGTGCCAAAAACCGAACGCCGAAAGCCGAACACCGACTTAGGTGGTTTCGGTTCTGAGCAAGGACCAGGGATTTTAACAATAAAAGAAATCATCAAAAATGTTTGTTTTGATGCACAAAAAAATATTTTATGATTTGTAAAAATTGTTTTGACTTTCTGAGAATCGAGACTTGAATTTATTGTCGGTTTTGATCACAAAAGACTGACTCGACTCAGTCTTCAATTCTTGATCTTGTCCTTGAGTCTTTTAGGTCTTGTTCAAAGCCATTCTTCACGCCTTGAGTTATTCAACGAAACTCTTTATATCCACGGCGGTTTGGCAATTATCAAAACCTGTCAGAAATGAACACGATTTTAGTTTATCGTACAAAGTGTGTTCCAACAATTTCCCCCTTTTTGATAATGGCAAACAAGACGGGGATATGCATAGGGTTTTGATCTTTTTGAAAAAAAAATTCCCCCTTAATAAAAAATTCCCCCTTAATATATGCATAGCCCTTATCTTCCCCCTTTTGACATTAACAAAGAGATTTTTTATAACAAAAACCATAAAGATTTTTATTAATTAATTAAGGGAAATAACGGAGTACATAACGAAAGCATATTAAAGGATGATAAAATAAGTAAGAGAAGAAAGTAGAGCTAGAGCTCTAGAAATCCGGGGAAAGATCATTGAGAAGTTGTTCTTCGTCAATGTCTTCTTCTTCTTCTTCATCTTCATCACCATCGCCATCATCATCGTCATCATCATCGGCTTCTTCTTCCTCTTCCTCATCGTCCACCTCTTCATTTCTACCAACGTTTTGAGTCCCACTCTGTTCACCTCCAAAATTCGGTGGAGGAACGTAAGGGACCATTTGAGCGTACGGGTAATTGACAAAGTCAAAATACCCATGAAGTTCACGGCTTAATGTATTGACATTGTGTGACGTTTTGGAGACGTTGGTGTCAATCCAAGAGAGAGTGGCGGTCAAGGCTGCCATTTGCTCGGCGAGAGAAGGATTGGTCGAAGTGGTGGCAGTTGAGGCAGTGGCTCTTGGTTGGCGGCGTGGACGAGGCTGTCGAAACGGAGTCTCGTCGGTGCCTGAGTGGAAAGAGGATTCATCAATCTCCCAATGCTTTGTCCCCTTTATCTTTGGCCCAACATCGGTTTTGATGTTATACTCTTCAAGAATCGCCATGACGAGGAGGGCGTAGGGGAGCGGCCGGTTGTCGAAGGTGGCGTTGAACATGTGGATCATCACAAATTTACACCAATTGATATTGGCGTTGTGAATCATCGCATGGATCGTCTTCGTGTCTTCTTGGGAGAGAGTGGTGTGGTTGAACTTCCTAGGCTTGAGAATCCGTGTCAAAACATAAAAAATGAATCGAAACACGGGACTCATGGAAGCAATCGTAGGGCGCCGCTGTTGGGGAGTGGGGACGAAGTGTCGGATGCCCACTTCCTCCAAGAGAGCGGTCTCATTGAACCGCGCTCCTTCTTCTCCGACGTAGAGCCCGAGATCCTGTCCGTCCCGACGAAGCCCTGTGAGAATTTGAATGTTTTCCTCATTCAAATAGATGTCCACCCCGTTGACGTTAGAGATCAACGCTCCGTCCTCATCCTTTTTCAAGTTCGAGTAGAAAGCTCGAACAAGAAAGGGGTGATAATTGACCTTCTTGATGTAGAGGAGGTTGAGGAAGTTTCCACGTTCGAGGATAACCCGTGCCTCACGTGGAATGGAGTCATGAATGAAGCGGGCGGTGGAGAATCGGGGAGGGAGAATTTCCCGGTGTTCAAACTTCTCCGAGAACCGCGTCACCTCTGCGCAGTTGTTGAACCAAAGGAACGACCCATCGAGGTACTTGTGCGCCGGTGGTGGAGGAGGAGCCGAGGAGGAAGCAACGTTCTTGCTAGTGCGGGAACGCTTTCTTTGACCGCCTGCCATTGCAACAAGAGAGGAGAGAGAGATTGCAGAAATTTTGAAAAAAATGAAGAATAGGAGCAAGAATGATGAATTATGATGAATATATGGAGAAGAGATGATTGGAATGAGTAAAAATGGAGTAGATATCACCAATATATAGTGGAGGAGGTGTAGAGATCCGTTGGGATGGTCAAACAAGGTTTAAATGCTCCTCCAACGTCTCTGCAACGGTCAGAATTTTTAAAAATCGCCGTTGATAATCGTTTTACACTCCCTGTAAATCGATTATCTGAGTCTTCAGATTCTCGGCCAAAGAAACTGCAGGCTTCAATAATCAATTTCTGCCTGGTTGTAAATCGATTATTGTAGTTTGCGCCTGAGTTGCCTTTAACTTCTGCAGGCTTAAATAATCGATTATCTTATAGTTGATAATCGATTGTTGCTGGTTTGCGCCTGACTTTTGAGAGGGTTCTGCAGCCCCTGATAATCGATTATCATGACTTGGAAAATCAATTGTTGAGGTTTTGCGATGGATTTGCTCCAAACTTCTGCGGACAGTGATAATCTGTTATATCTAAGCTCAGGGTTTTATAGTCTCAGACTCTTTATTTGCAGGGAAAGGAAGATAATCGATTGTCCTAAGTGGATAATCGATTATTGAAGGCTTCAGGTTCTGGGTAGTTTTCTGGGAATTCTCTGAGAAGGGCGATAATCAATTGATGGGGGAGTGACAATCGATTATTGAGAATTGCAGGTTTCTGGGAAAAGCTAATAATCGATTGTCCTAAGTGGATAATCGATTGTTGAAGGCTTCAGGTTCTTGGCAATTTTCTAGGAATTCTCTGAGAAGGACGATAATCGATTGACGGAGGAGTGGTAATCGATTATTGTGAGTTGCAGGTTTCTGGGAAAAGCTGATAATCGATTATCTGAAAGTGATAATCGACTATTGAAGACTGCAGGTGTTTTACGAAGGATAGATAATCGACTTCTACTACTGATAATCGATTACTCGATAGCTCGAGACAGGAAAAAAGGTATTTCTTTGGGAAAGGGAACAAGCCAAGTTGGTGATAATCGATTATTTGTCCTCTCAGAAGATTCTGAGTTTTGGCTGCAAAGGCTGATAATCGATTATTGCATAGCTGATAATCGATTATTGCGTACTTCAGAACTTTGGAAGTTCAAAGCTGCAGGGGCTGATAGTCGATTGTCACTAAGGTGATAATCGATTATCACCCAGATAAAGTCTAGCCAGCTGAAACCCGTTTTGAAAAACCGAGGTCCAAAAACGAAGTGTTCCCAAAAGTAAAAACCAGATTTGGAAAATATTGTATATGGTATAAAATAGTGAAAACAAGACTTGTTTAGTAAAAACCAAGTCTCCAAGGTCGTATAATACGTGCGTACGGTTTTGACCGTTTTTCACGTGTTAGACCGATCGACCAAGATACAAAAATGATTTTTATAAAATAATTATTTGGGAACATTTTTAAAATGCTCAGAGGTAAAAACAGGGTTTAAAATATTGAAAACCACGGAGTTGGTTCGGGCGCCAAAAACCGAACGCCGAAAGCCGAACACCGACTTAGGTGGTTTCGGTTCTGAGCAAGGACCAGGGATTTTAACAATAAAAGAAATCATCAAAAATGTTTGTTTTGATGCACAAAAAAATATTTTATGATTTGTAAAAATTGTTTTGACTTTTTGAGAACTGAGACTTGAATTTATTGTCGGTTTTGATCACAAAAGACTGACTCGACTAAGTCTTCAATTCTTGATCTTGTCCTTGAGTCTTTTAGGTCTTGTTCAAAGCCATTCTTCACAACTTGAGTTATTCAACGAAACTCTTTATATCCACGGCGGTTTTGCAATTATCAAAACCTGTGAGAAATGAACACGATTTTAGTTTATTGTACAAAGTGTGTTCCAACACCATACCAATGCTAGCCTGGCGACTGTTGTTGTATGCAAACTCCATGAGTGGCAGGTATCGCTCCCAACCGTCCCCGAAGTCGATTGCACACGCACACATCATATCCTCGAGAATCTGAATCACCCTCTTCGACTGACCCTCTGTCTGAGGGTAGAACGCCGTACTAAAGTGGAGATCGGAGCCCAATGCCCTTTGTAGACTCTTCCAAAACTGTGATGTGAATCGAGGGTCATGATCCGAAATGATAGATGACGGTACTCCATGTAGCCTGATGATCTCGCGGATGTATAACTCCGCTAATCGCTAGAGTGAGAAGTCACGACGAATGGGGAGAAAATGTGCTGACTTGGTCAACCGATCAACGATGACCCAAACTGTGTCGTACTTACGTGGTGACAATGGCAGTCCCACGACGAAATCCATCGTAATGCGATCCCACTTCCACTCGGGAATGGTGATCTGCTGAAGCAATCCTGAAGGAACTTGGTGCTCGGCCTTGACCTACTGACAAGTCAAACACCGCGACGTGAATTCAGTGATCTCCCGCTTCATCGCGGGCCACCAGTAATGTCTCCTAAGGTCTTGGAACATCTTGTTACTACCCGGGTGCATGGTATACACAGTGATGTGTGCTTCGCGAAGCAGGCGTTCTCTCACCTCCCCCGCTGGCACAACCATACGCTCCCGATAGTACAAGATACCATCCCGAACTGCAAAATCCGGCTTCTCTCCTCGAGAGACGAGCTCAACGGTCTCGATAGAGAAATCATCACTACTCTGGGCTGAGGCTATCTGCTGCTGTAATGTAGGCTGGACGTGTAGCACAGCTAGAGTCTTACGACTAAGGGCATCGGCTACCACATTCGTCTTACCTAGTTGGTAAGCGATGTGACAGTCATAGTCCTTAATCAACTCTAACCACCTCCTCTGTCGGAGATTCAGATCCTTCTGCGTCAACAGGTACTGAAGACTCTTATGGTCGGTGAAGATACGCGTCGTCTCACCGTAGAGGTAATGCCTCCAGATCTTCAAAGCAAGTACAATAGCTACTAGCTCAAGGTCGTGCGTCGGCTAATTGCACTCATGTGGCTTCAACTGCCAAGACGCATAAGCAACGACCTTGCCCTCCTGCATGAGAACACACCCCAAGCCGTTATGGGACGCGTCGTTGAAAACCGTATACTCCACTCCTGGAGTGGGCTGGACTAGAACTGGTGCCTGGGTCAGACACTCCTTCAGTCGCTCGAAACTCTGCTGACAAGCGTCAGTCCAAATGAACTTGACGTCCTTCCTCATCAGCTTGTGTAGTGGCGATGCTATTTTGGAGAAGTCCTTCACGAACCGACGATAGTAACCCGCCAATCCAAGAAAACTCCTCACCTCACGTGCATTCCGCGGAGTCTTCCACTCCGTGACCGCTGCTATCTTGCACGGGTCTACCTTCACACCTTCAGCCGAGATGACATGGCCGAGGAAGGTAACCTCGTGCAACCAGAACTCGCACTTGGACAGCTTGGCATAAAGCTGCTGTTCCCAAAGAATGCTCAAATCGATATGCAGATGCTCGGCATGCTCCTCCTGTGTCTTGGAGTACACCAAGATGTCATCAATGAAGACCACAACAAACTGATTAAGATGCTTCCGGAACACACTGTTCATCAGATCCATGAACACTGCTGGTGCGTTAGTCAAACCAAAGGGCATGACTGTGAACTCGTAATGACCGTATCTCGTGGGGAAAGCCGTCTTAGGAATGTCCTCCTTCTTGACGGGAATCTGATGGTACCCTGATCGGAGATCGATCTTAGAGAAGACTGTGGCTCCTCTCAGCTGGTCAAACAAATCGTCAATGCGGGGTAACGGATAGCGATTCTTGATGGTAACTTTGTTTAACTGATGGTAATCAATGCACAACCGCATCGATCCGTCCTTCTTGCGGACGAATAGAACCGGTGCTCCCCAAGGAGACACACTACGTCGGATGAAGCCCTTATCCAGCAACTCCTGTAGTTGAGCCTTCAGCTCCTTCATCTCCGCAGGCGCCATGCGATAAGGTGTGATCAAGATCGGTCCTGTTCCTGGAACAAGATCAGTGGAAAACTCTACCTCCCTAGGGGGTGGTAGACCAGGTAAGTCATCTGGAAACACATTAGGAAAGTCACATACCGTAGGGTTGTCCCCCCTACTAGGCGCCTCTTGAAAAGTGTCACGCACTGTGCAAAAGAATGCTTCACACTTCTTGGGAATGAGTCGACGAGCATGGATGTAGGAAATGAATTCTGGAGCTTTCGGAAGAAGCTCACCATGGATCAGTACGTCACTACCGTCTTCGGCTCTCAGTCAAACAGTATGAACTCCATAGTCAACAACGGCTTGGTTGGCGGTGAGCCAATCCATGCCTAGAATAACGTCAAACTCACGATGTGGAAGCTCAATGAGACTCGCAGGGAAGATCTTTCCCTGGACTACTAACGGGCAATCGTGATACACATGGGTGAGTCGTAGACTGTGTCCCAATGGGTTGGACACAACAATTACCGGGTTGTCAAAGTCTTCCCTCGGAAAGTTAGGCATAACAGGCATAGGCATACAAACATATGATAGAGTGGAACCCGGATCAATCAAAGCTGTAATAGATGTATCGAACAAGGTAAAGATACCCATGATGACGTCATGGGCTGGCTGCTCGGTACGCCCTCGCATCGCGTAAGTACGGGCTGGGGCCTTCCCCGCCTGAGCGCTAGATACCTGCCGCTTGGGCCCGCTAGATGCTGCCGCCGACTTCTGACTCTAGGCGGGCTGCGCTGCTGGGGCTGGAGCGGCTGGTGCGGTCGAGAATGCCTCACCTGGATTCTTCGGACAATCTTTTCGGAAATGCCCGGCCTGGCCACACCCAAGGCACAGGCCAAGAGTGTACCAACACTCTCCTGGGTGCCTGCGCCCACAAAGGTCACAAATCGGGTTGCGAAACCCATCCCCGCTCTTGCCCTTCTTCTGTAAGGACGTAGATGACTAAGCTGGGGCTGACTTCACCTTCTTGCTCTGGTGAGAGCTGCTCGGCGCTGTAAAGGACCTCTTGCTGCTGGTCCCCGCCTTCTGGGGTGGAGGAGGACGAGATGGTGCCGTTGACGCTCCTAGCGTCTGCTCATACTCAGCCTTCTTGATGAGGGCCGCATTCAAATCCAACGCATTTTTGTACAACGCGTTGATGTCACTCCGGGGAGCAATGATCAGATGGGTCGAAAGGTCGGGACGTAAACCCTCCACGAAGCGTTTGCATCGCTTCTCCACGGTCGGTACGAGGTCTTGCCTAAACCCCGCGAGCTCGTCAAACTTCTGACGATACTCAGGCAGTGTGAGTTCACCCTAGGTGAACTTCAAAAACTCTTCACGCTTCGCCTCGACGAAGTGCTCAGGGATGTACTCTTCGTGGAAGAGTCGGTCAAATGTGGCCCACTGCATGGGCTCCGGAACGTGTGCTCCCACACGCTTCCACCAGTCGTAGGCGGAATCCTGAAGTAATGCGACTGCGAGGTCGCCACGCTGCTCCTGTGGAACCCTCAGGTTCCCCAACACTCGGATGGTTCGCTCAAACCACCGTTTGGCAATCATGGGGTCGGCGATCTGATCGCCCAAGAATTCCTCAGCTCCATTCTTCCGGAGCTTCTCGATGGGGACCACCGCCATTGGTGGCGGTGGTGGTGGCACGTAAGCTCCAGCCATCTACTGGAGGAAGTTCATGAAGTTAGCCACGAACTGCGGCTGGACGATAGGGATGGCTTCCGGTATAGGGCCCACGCCCGGGACCGCCTCCTCGGAGGCCTGCTGAGGTGTGAAGCTCGACGCTTCAGTGTGCATGCTCACGTGCTCAGGCTCCCCCTCTAGGACAGCCTGTCCGTCATTGCCAGCTGCTTGACTCATTCTCTAAAGGAATAACTTAAATCAGAACTAATTGTAATATGACATACATGTGATCTAAATAACGGTGTACCTTTCCTTGGGAGTGATGCAATGGGAGATGCGGCTGTGGACTTTTTGAAAATACCTTTTGAACAAGACGACAAGATATGTTTTTTTTTCAAAAACCGAAACTTCTCTGATACCAAATTGTAACACCCGCCTTCCGTGGACCCGGTTCACCCGCGACCCAACGGACCGGTAGGGTTACATGGACAGTCCGAGAACCATCCGTTACGAAAACATTAATGATTATTTAATAAGAAAACGGTTGGGTTTTAATTAGAGAAATAAGTGCCAGGGAGTTACTCCCAAAACGTGTGTAATAAAAGTGCAGAGTAATTGCGGAAGTAATTAAATAAGTTTAGTCCAAATTAAATAACGACAAGGGTGGGTTCATGCCCAATCGATTAATGAAGTTATTGAAAGTAATTAAGAGTTCGTCCGTGCGCCGCCCATCTCCCCATCGTCACCGCTCTCCAGGGTTGTCACCTGCTCCGTCATGTCTACCTGCGTGTAGCAAAAACAACTACACGCTCAGCAAAAGCTGAGGAGTGAATCTAACAAAAGAACATGAAGTGATAACCCATATGGCTATACCCATAACAATACCTGTACTTAACGTACGGGACACCACGCGTTACTAACTGTTTAGTTTTCACCTGTTAAAGCTATTTCGAATAACGAGGAACATAACGATGATGATATGACTTGATGCATGACACCCCTGGCTTAGTCTCACTCGACAGGATCACCCCTGCACTCCGGTCATCGTCCCCGAACGGTAACGAGCCGGGCACGACGAAAACATCGCGAGTGGACTAGCAAAACCAGGTAGTAGCCATAATCTGACTACTATGTACGTACACAAGCCCAACCTGATGAAAACCCGTTGGTCCCCAAAGGTTCCTGGACGGACCCACTGTAGTAAGCGCATGATGTCCTCCCTACAGCGGTATGCACATGATGAAAACCTAGAACATCCGTCTAGAACGAACATGATGGAATGAATACATTGATTAAAGAAGAGAGTTAAATTCAATTCATACATATGTGTTTGATTACGATTTGTTCAACATGATGGCCCTGGGTTCGGAACTGGCTGATAATCGATTATCATGCTGTGCAGCTTCTGTCCCCAAAGTCCTGCAAACCGTGATAATCGATTGTCACCCTATGACAATCGATTGTCAAGTTGGTTTATCTGGAAAGTCCTAAGTTCAGAGAGACCTGATAATCGATTTGTCTGTGTGATAATCGATTATCAGTGAAGCCAACTCGGACCCAAGAATCCGCAGAGCCTGATAGTCGATTATCACATATGGGATAATCGAATGTCCTTCATATGAAATAGTTCATACTCATGGGTTAGAAAATCTATCTTAGCTTCTCGGACTTGATCCGTACCTTCATATGTGATTTCTAGCTTGTCCCACATTTCCTTGGCGGCGGAACAACAAGAGATCTTCCGGTAGTCATCCGGGTTTACTGCACAATAGAGAATGTTGATAGCCTTGGCGTTGTTCTCTATTTTCTTGATATCCTACGCATCGTATTCGTCTTCGGTTTTTGGAACGGTGGTTTCCCCAACTTTCTTCATGGGCACTTCTTCCCCATTCTTGATAATTCTCCATAGGAGAAAGTTGTTAGATTGGATGAAAATTCTCATTCGCTCCTTCCAATATGTGTAATTCGTTCCATCAAATAATGGAGGCCTCGTGGTGATTGCCCTTCTCCTAAACCTGCGTATAAGTTTTGAGTAGAAGCCATTGATCGTTTCTCTCAAACGGTTAAGTCTTTCAGAGAGTAAGGCTCTGATACCAATTGTTAGAATAACGGCCCAACGCTAGAGGGGGGGTGAATAGCGTTTGAAACAAAATCGCAGGAAATTAAAATGAGAGCGTTAAAGTAAAGAGCGTAAGGAAGGAGCACACCGAATTTTATCCTGGTTCACCACAACGTGTGGCTAATCCAGCCCCCCGAGAGACTCTCTCGAGCTACACTAACTCCGTTAAGCTTAAGGGTGCTTAACAAACCGATACAACTTGCGAACCCGAGTCACACGAGCCTCAACACCTTTGCTTGGAGATACCGCACTCCAAGACTTCTCACGAAGGAACAAGGAACTTCCTTCGAGTTTACAACAAGGGAACAACCTCCCTTAAAGTGTATGAAAACACTTAAACACTCAGGAATAANGTTAAGCTTAAGGGTGCTTAACAAACCGATACAACTTGCGAACCCGAGTCACACGAGCCTCAACACCTTTGCTTGGAGATACCGCACTCCAAGACTTCTCACGAAGGAACAAGGAACTTCCTTCGAGTTTACAACAAGGGAACAACCTCCCTTAAAGTGTATGAAAACACTTAAACACTCAGGAATAAAACTCTCACAAAGAGTAGATATGAGTGAACTAGTAACAGCTCAGGAACACGACAATTTATTCAAGAATTGGCTCTCAAATAGCTAAGAAAAATAGGAATGCTTATGCAATGAAGGAGTATTGAAATGTTGAAGAATTGTGTGTAAAATGAGAGGATTTGGGTGCCATTTTATAGCTCAAAATAGGATATACCCGTTGCTAAAATTTCCAACAGGATGAAGACAAATTTTTCAGAGACACAGGGTGATAGTCGATTTTCAAAGCTTGATAATCGATTATCCAAAGATTCCCTGTCCAAAAATTTAAAATTCTATCCGTTGGAGGACAACGGTAACCCAGATATTCGATTGTCAACAAGTGATAATCAATTATTGGTCCTCTCAGAAGATTCTGGGTTTTGGCTGCAAAGACTGATAATCGATTATTGCATAGCTGATAATCGATTATTGCGTGCTTCAGAACTTTGGAAGTTCAAAGCTGCAGGGGCTGTTAGTCGATTGTCACTAAGGTGATAATCGATTATCACCCATGATGTACTCAAGCTTAGGAAAAGGCTATGGATAAATAAGGACAGATTATAGAGGGGAATATATGATGAAGAATAGGTGGGATTTGAGTATAAAAGGGTGAAGATAGTATGGCTGTTTGGAAAAGGTGATATGGCAGAATGAAGGGCAGGAGAAAAGAAATATTATGGAGTGGTTTTTGATGAAGAAATGAAGTGTTTAAATGGGGGAAAGGGGGTGGACGAAATTGGGAGAGAAAGAAGGGAGTTTTGTGGTGGTTTTCTGGTGGAATAAGGATAAACCAAATAATGAATAAGAGATAAACACACTCTTATTTTATTTGGGGCTATTTCTTTTCACACAATAATATTCACTACTATTATATGAAATAGACTCCTAACACACTCAAAAGTAGCCAACTTTAGAGATATTTCATTAGGAAATGGGGAGAACTAGCTTCACACTAATTCAAAGATTTTACTCAAAGAGTAAAGGGAATAAAAATACAATCTGGTGCTGCATTACAAGGCCCTTGGCCGAAATAAATAAGGGGAAGAAAAACTAAGGGAAAGCTTTCTACCACTTTCCTAAAATCAAGTGTATAATATCCATTTATTGATGCCTTTGGTTTGTCCTCATTGATCAGTGTTAAATGGTGAAAATGGGGTGTCTTTGGTGTGGGGATTTCGGCCATGTGAAGGATGAGGGAAGGGGGCGGTTTGGTTATGTGAAGGGTGAGGTGAGGGGCTGGATTTTTGGTCCACACATGAGGAATAATACATTAATGATTATCCTTTATTCCTTTGGTTTTATTGTGGATTTGAAGGGTGATAAATGGGATATTTGGGGGGCTGAATTCGTCCATGGGTGTGAAAGGGTGTGGGTTTGATGTATTATCACAACAGGACAAAAGACATGTTTTATTTCTTGTCCCCTGGTTTGTTCCTCTTGTAGTGGGGGATGTTTGTGATGGATGGGGACTGATTTTGAGGACAAATGGGGGCATATTTTCGTGACTTTGAAGTAGGAAGGGATGGGGAAGGTTCTTATTTGATGAAAGGAATAT